GACCCCTCGAAGAGCCAGTCCTGTCCCTCACAACAATTTAAAAATTATTCGAGAGCTATAAATATATTTTTACAAATAAGGAAAATTTAAAGTAATATTATAAATGAAACTATGATAGTTTTATTTTCATTTTCAATTTTACTTCAGAGTCACATATACGAACCCAAAGAGCTGCCTGTGGCTTGTGAGCCGCAGTTTGTTGACCCCTGGGGGCTCTTTTGTCTCAAAAATTTGCGGACCCCTGATATGACTGAATGCTGGGTGATCAGTGCTATAGGTGTGGGTTTGCCCCAGGTGGTAGCTCTGGTCTTTGCACCTTGTTTAAATGTGCTTCTCCGTTGTTCCCAGCCAGTGATCTGTTGTCAGTTGTTTCTGATGGGCTTGATTTTGTTAATCTAGTTACTATTGACTTTTTATGCCTTGTCTTTCCCTTTCCTTCATTTAATTAATTTTTTTCCAATTGCTTATTTTCTGCTCATCTTATGTCTAAATTTAAAGCATAACTATCAACCTTGATTAGTTTTAATTGTCTTTCGTAAAGAGAGAGGCCTAACTGCATTCCCTTCCTTCCTCAGAGAATTACTTAATCCTTCCATCAGGAAATCTTCAGATTTTGAATGTATCCTTAGAGGACAAGGGATCATATAAATGTGCAGCTTTTAACCCTGTCACACATGAATTAAAAGTCGAACCCATTGGCCAAAAGCTCCTTGTGAGTCGTAAGTATTTGTGAAGATAATGGTAACTAAGAAGTGTCTGCACAAGCATTCCTCGTAGAAAGTTGAGAGTTCAGTTTTCTTGTAGATCCTTTTTTATCATAAGAAAGTATTATAAAAATTAAATACATAAATGTATTATAGAATAGTACTGTACATGTTTTTAAAATGTAATGATTTTTGGGGCCGGCCGAGTGGCTCAGTTAGTTAAGAGTTAGCTTAAGAGTGCTAGCTCTGAGCAACAGGGCCACTGGTTCGATTCCCACATGGGCCATTGACGCTGCGCCTGAGCTGAGCTGCTGCTGAGCTGCTGACAGGTGGCAGGGTGACTCAGCTGGTGAGAGCACGTGCTCCTAACAACAAGACTGCCTGTTCGATGGTGGGCTACGCCGGCCCGCAACTAAGACTGAACTTGGAATCTTGAGCTGAGCTGCCGCCCGGATGGCTCAGTGGATAGAGCATGCGCTCCTAACAACAAGGCTGCTGGTTCGACTCCCACATGGGATGGTGGCTATGCCCACCCGCAACTAAGATTGTAACACAGCACATTGGGCTTAGATGCCATGAGCTGCTGACGGGCAGCCAGATGGCGACTGGCGCCCTCCACAACTAAGATTGAAGAACAACAACTTGGCTGGTCCCCCTCCCAAATTCCCCAACACTATTCCCCTCTCCTGATTCCCCAAT